CTCTGAATCAATTTGTGCTGTATTAACTGGTGTGCTCCAGAGATAACTTTGTTGGTAACCCCTGACGAGAGTCAGCTTCTGCGTGGGCTGAATTAAAACTTCAGGGCTCTTCTGTAAATGAAGCCTCAGATCAGCTGATGTTCCCGAGGCACTTTGGGACTCCTTTGGGTCAGTTTTACCAAGGTGGAGGAACGTGTCTGAGTGTTTAGGCAGTACGTTCATGAAATAATGGAAGTCTGTTGTGAGAGCTGCTGCATGAATTGTATGAATATTTATTAGAGATAAAATTGGAGTGCTTTATGAATTAAAACCAAACTGAAAACATGCTTTAGCTTTTTAAGCCACTTACAGCCTGCAACACAGTGGCTTTCTCCACGACTGTTACACAGGAATGCTGTTACAAAAGCATCGTCATTTCATAATTAGGCCGGTACAGTAACGCAGTCAGGTGACTGCCTCTCGGGAGAATAATTAAATGGTTTGTGATGAAAACTGAGGATAAGTAAACTTGGCGTGTGTCAGAGGGACTACAATCAGCTGATAAGAGCAAACTCGCCCTGCAGATGCTTTATGTACTCGGCGCAGCTTTGGAGTGCTGCCTGCAGTAAAGCTGTTGTATTGATTTCTAACTTTGTCTCTCTTTTTTTTCAGGCTGACCTAAACTGAGTGTTTCCCAAACATCATGGGAGAGATTAAAGTCTCTCCTGACTATAACTGGTTCAGAAGCACAGTTCCTCTGAAAAAGGTAGGTACAGCTGTAATTGACCTGTGGGTGAAAGGTCTCCTCTTGCTTTGCAGTGGGGGAGACCAAGCTGTTTGGTAAACGCAGAACAGTTGTGGCTGCGCTAGTGACCTGGCTGATCTCCTGAACTGTTGTCCCGTGTGTTGTATGAGTGCGTGAAAGCACGCTCTGAATTTTCATGTGCTTCTCGGTCACTTCTGCGTGTGGTGGCAGGGTGCAGAGGCTTGCAGATGTGAGTGCCAGCCGTGCCTGAGGAGCAGACTCCCAGGAAGCAGCATCTGCTGGGGACCACGTGCGTGCCCTCGCATGGAGCCGCTGCATGTGCTGTGCTGCAGCAAGGCAGGGCAGCTGAGCCAGCTGCAGCACTGCCGTGCTGCCAGAGCCACCTCTGCCACTCCCACCCGTTGTCCTTGGGCCAAAGCTGAGCCTCTGAAGGCAGCTTCTTGGCAGTCGGGCTGCACGTGGGGTTCCTGAGAGTCGAAAGATGCCTTAACCACAGTGGAAAAAAACAAATAATTTCTTCCACTGCGTGCCCTTTAGATGTCTTCTGCTTAATCATACTGTCCAGCCACTTTCTCCTCGCGCTTGGGTTTCTCTGCTTCCCTTCACTGAACCACAGGAAAGTGTTTGAGGTGTGCAGTGCTCCAGCTTCTGCTCTCTACATGCCGAGCGGCAGAGGGCACAGAGCGCAGTACCAGTACGTAGCTCCTGACCCGGGCTAGCTCTCACGGGTACCTTTGCACCCAAGACTTGCTGGGGCTGTGGTTATGGACTGAGCTGCAGCAGGAGCCTGGGCTCCTGCCGGACAGGACGACAGCCTTGTCTTCATGCCCCAGCACGCTGCTCCTGCAGCACGGTCGCTCGTGTAACCATGCAAGCTGAGCAGTCAGTGGCCTGTCTTGCTTGGGGTGTTTTATGGCTTGTTTTTCTGCTGACTTCCAGCTGGCTTAGTTCCCTAATCTGGGTGGCTGTGTGGGCTGCAGAGGCGAGAGCAGCATTACCTCTTTCGACAGCAAGTTGGTTGCAGTTGGGCCGCTCAAAAGGGACTGTGTCCCCAAACCCGAGGGACAACACCTCATTGTGCCTGGCATCATTGCCGCTGAGTGGTGTGTAGCTTTCTCTAGGAAATCACCTTCATGGAAGGGCTGTAGGATTTTCCATTCAGGGTTTCTCATTCATTTTTGCCAGTTTATGTCTTCAGTAAATCGGAAGGATCCATGGCTTTTGACTGTGCATGCTCTGTTTAGGCTCTGGCTGTCCAGCTTCTCTCTGTTTCTGGCCGGTACCAGATCTGCTGGGTCTGTTTGTGTCGTGCTGTTGCCTTCGGGCAGTGCCTCACCAGGTCAGCAAAGCTGGGAAACACTATTTCAGCGGAAGGACATGTGGGTGCTCCAAGGTGCTGCTTTATGGGGTGCAGTATGGTAAATGAAAGGAGCTGGAGGTTGTGGTTACAATGGAGCGTGTTGCTGCTGCCGTGGGGACTGCGTGATGCTGCAGCTCACTGCCAAGGGCTACTGCCTGCAGCTGCTACTCAGGATTTCATAAATGGGGACACGGGTAAGCTGAAGCTGCTGGTGACCTGCAGACTAGGGAGTACCTTACCCTCTGGAGGGATTCAGTTTGCTCAAAAGTAAAGTGATGCCGCAGTGATGAATGTGGGGTATGAAGAAGGTGAAAATAAACAAACTAGTCCTGGTTTCTGGAGAGAGAAGGGAAAAAAAAGAAAGCACAGTATGAAGATATAATTACTCTCTGAAGCAGTCTTTAGCAATACATTTGCTTGCATTATCCCCCCAGAAGTGCAGGCAAAGCATGTGCAGTACAGAGGAAGGCATGACCAACCATCGTTACTGCTGGTAAGCACACGTTAACTGCTGTCGGATCGACCTGAGGCAGCCGAGCCGGAGCAGTTGGTTTGAAAGTGGGCTGAAGTGTTCCTCCTGACAGGAGCAGGAAACACGCAGCTCCATCGCCCTTCCTGCTCTTGTCAGATATAGGAAGTACAGCACAGAAAATAACAGTTTTAAACTGAGTCTTTAGCTTTGCCTGTGAGCCTCCATTTGCATACAGCACTTGCTGTCTTAGATTAAAAGCCTTCAGCAAGGGGCACCCCAGCCCTGGTAAACTGAAGGGGAGTTCTGCCCCTTGTTTCAATGCCGTGCAGATTTTATCCTTTATGTAGACTGCAGGCGATCTGGATTGATCGACCACAACAAGAAAAAGACTGGCGACGAACAAATTAACCATGCTGGTGTCCGCCTGCACAGCACTTAGCCTTGTTCTGGAGCTGGAGTTAAATTACCTGGTATGTGGCTAGAAGTCAAGCAGAACAATTGATCCAGTTCCCTTCCCATGAAATAACTTTATTCTTCTGATTTCAAGGAATATGCTTCACTTTTGGAAATATTCCTGAAGGTAAACTTTGTAGTAGGCACCGATAGCGACCCTGAGCTGATCCAAAATTAGTCCTGGAACGACAGCTGGGAACAGCGAGTCCTGGAGCTCTGGAGTTGACTGCAAAGAGTTGTTTTCCTGGGGATTGGGAGAGCTTTTGTACAAGGGTTTTTTTTTAAAAAGGTTTCAGTGGTCTGGAAGCTCTGGTATGCGATCGTTCTGCTTTTTTCTGTAGAGGCTGTACAGAACAACAGCATCATGTGATTTCTCACATGTTCTCAGAGCCTGAAATACTGGCTTTAATGCCGGAAGATGTGTTAGTCGAGCAAATCTGATTTGGGATACGCTGTTTTCCTCTGATTCCCCGAGAATGTTAACTGTGGTGATGGGAAAGCAAATTGCGCTTGTTTATTGCGGTTCAGAAAGCTATAAAATCCTGACACAGAGGAGATAAATTCCCACTGTGTGACGCAGGCTTTCCCCAGAGGTTTGTGCTTGTTGATTGGGGGTGAGCTCCACACTTTTGTTGTGGAGGGTTGGAAGAGCATCCTAAATACACAAAACAGTTTGCTGGTAGAACAAGCCCTGTAAAAACAAGTCAGGCTCCAGCACTGCTAGAAAAGAAGACCTTTACCTAATTCTTATACTTTTAAAGATAATAATTGTGCTATGGCTTCTAGCTTCTGCCCCGAGATGGGTGCTGTGTGACAGACTGCTCGCTAAGGATAGCAGGTCGTGCGTGAGCAATCTGCTTCAGCCAGCCGCATGTGCTGGGCGCTCCAGATGCTCCCAGGATGCTGCCAGATGATGGAAGCATTTTTCTCTCTGGGTCAGCCTTGCAGTGCTGCTTTGGGGGTTGTGTATGTCTCTGTTCCTGGCAGCTGGCTCTGTTTCAGATTGGTAATTTGTGGTTTTAGCTGCTTAATTCAGTAGGCTTGTGTGTATCAACGACCTGGATGAAGAGTTAGAATGTACCCTCAGCAAGTTTGCTGACGACACCAAACTGGGAGGTGTGGTAGATACACCAGAAGGCTGTGCTGCCATTCAGCGTGACCTGGATAGGCTGGAAAGCTGGGCAGAGAGGAACCTGATGAGGTTCAACAAGGGCAAGTGCAGGGTCCTGCACCTGGGGAGGAACAACCTCATGCATCAGTACAGGCTTGGGGTGGACCTGCTGGAGAGCAGCTCTGCGGAGAGGGACCTGGGTGTCCTGGTGGACGACAGGTTAACCATGAGCCAGCAGTGTGCCCTGG